CGCGCCGCCCGCGGTGTCCAGCACCAGCATGACCTTGTGAGCGCGGGCCATGCCGGCCACGCCGCCGCCCGGGGCCGCCGCCCCCTCCTGAGGCCCTCACTCCGGGAGCTCCGGCGCCATTCACTGCTTCCCCGACGGGCCCGGCTCGAAAAGCTCCCGCGCTCCGCGAGGGCGGCCGCTATTGGCGGAGCCCCTTCCCCGAGCTCGGCTCCTATTGGCTGCCTGCCGCACGTCCGTAACGTGGGCACGCCCATTTTTGACGCTAAAAGGAAGCGCGACGGAAAAGCCCCAGCTTGATTGGTGGAGAGCGTGGTTGTGGGGCGGGGCGTAGGAACGTAGCATTCATTGGCTTGTGCATCCGGTTTAAAATTTAAAAGGCGGTGCCTTAGGGGCGTGGCCAAGAGCTGCTTTGGAACCAGAAGCAGGCGGCTAGGCAATTCTGCGCAGGCGCAATGTAGATACGTGGGGTGGGGGAGAAGGGGAAGAGAGGGGGCGGGAAGGGAGGTGTGCGCAGGCGCGGTGTGGACTGCCGGCCTCGGTGAGTTTAGGATGGTTTGTACCAAACAGGTTTTTGTTTTTGTTCCAAACAAGTTTTAAACCACCCAGGGCCTTTTGCGAAGGAGAATCAGGTGACGAAGACTTTTAGCTTTCTGTAAATTGAAATCAATTGTTAAAAATTAACCTTTTTTGGTAATCCCAGCACGTGGAGGAGGGGTGGAGGAAGTGGAGGCCGGAAGATCACAAGATCGAGGCCAGCCTGGGCTTCAAACCAAGACCCCGTCCCAGAGCCCCGAGGACGCCTGGACTCCTAGCAGCAAGAGGCTGAGATCTGAGGATTGAGGGGGAAGAAAATCCACGAGATTCTCATCTCCAGCTAGCCAGCACAAAACCACCTGTGAGCAAAAGAAGAAAAAAAGTGAGCCTCGGGTTCAAGTCCCAGTACTGGCACACACGCACACACACGCAGTACACACCACCGGGGGCCAGCAAAGGCCATATGGGGCCAGATGCACATGACCCAATATTTTTAAGTTCTGAAAGAACTAGAATTCCATGTCCAATGACAATATCCCATCGATCTCTATTCCCACAACCCCCCTAAGAGCTGACTTCGCTTTTTGAACCTAGATAGAAGGCACTTGGTTTTCTTCTTCGCTTTGTATCCTTCCGGCCTGGCAGAATGTACTCAATAAATTGCTTAAGTTGAATTTTTTATGTGATCAAGCTTTCTTCCCCGCCCCCCCCACACACACCCAGAAGAAAGTTAGAGAAGACACACGAAGCCCCACCAGAGGGCAGCAGAAGCAACCCTCCTGGGACCAAAACTTTCTCCAGAACTTCCAGTCCTTAGTTTGCATAAGAAAAGCAAAGGCTAGAGACCCATTAAAATCAAATCTCTGCTGCCCCTGGACCAGGTCTGTCCCCTCCTCAGGGAAGTTCTTTAAGGATGGAGAAACAAGGCTCTGAGACCCTCTCTCAGTGAAGAAGAGAGTGGGTCTAACACAAGCCTGGCTGATTGCGATCTCTTCTCTAGTCCTCATTCCCCAGATGGGGCAGCCATTCCGTGCTCTGTGGGCTCCAGAGGCCCCGGAAGCCTCGTCCCGCTGCTCCATGCGCTGAAGCCTGCGCCCTGCCTCATTACTAACTTTCTTTAGTGGGGTGCCAACCCACTTCGCTTCTAATGGCTACACAGAGGGTCCCGCCCTCCAGCACAGTAATGACACTGGGCCCTTGTTTAAAAATTAAGAATTTTTAGATGACAGACAGCATCAGAGCATTCCGCCAAGCCCAAGGCCCTTCTACGCACGCACTTGATCAGCTCACAGGCTCTTATCTGCACAGGGAGGAGGTTGGATCTGACCAGCAGTTACAAACTAGTTACACATTAGAAACTCCTGGGGACTTAAAAAAAAAAAAAAAAGGTCGAAGCTCTCAATTCTTTTTTTTTTTTTAATGTGTTAAACTGGACTCGATGCTTTTCCATATCCCTATCCCCCTCTCTTGGTGTGCCTGGGGTTTAACTCATAGCCTGCACCTGAGGTTTGAACTCATAGCCTGCACCTGGAGTTTGTTTTTGTTTGTTTGATTTTGGTTGTGGAGCTTGAACTCTGAGCCTGGGTGCTGTCCCTCAGCTCTTCAGCTCAAGGTGAGCACTCTACCACTTAAGCCACAGCGCCACTTCCAGCTTTGTCTGCTTATGTGGTGCTGAGGAATTGAACCCAGAGGCTCATGCATGCAAGGCAAGGACTCTACCACTGAGCCACCTTCCCAGCCTGTACCTGGGGTTTGAACTCGTAGCCCTGTATTTGCTAGGCAGCACCCCACCGCCTGATAGTGCTCTCATGCAGGTCAGCCTCCCTGTGTCTCCTCACCGTTCAGGCAGCCAGCATGACAGTCCTGAGCCACTGAGTCCAGCTACTTGGTCTCCCCTTCATCGCAGGCTGGTAACTCAGCGGTGACACTGATGTGTTGGAGTTGGAAGCCTGAAGTCAGCTGTGCTGAGGGAACTTACAACATGGCCATCAGCAAGTGCTGGGTTTATTGTGTTGGTCCTCTAGACTAGATGGGAAAATACAGAGGATTCAAACTAAATTAAAAATTATATCTGTAGCCACGTAGACAATATGTGTGTGTGTGGGTTTATGTATAGCCAGGAAACATTCTGCCATTGTTTGGAAATTATTATGTGATTCAGCAAAGAAGTAGCTTGCATAATTGACCAATAAGTGGCTGATGAGGTCTCAACACGTTTGTATTATTTCTTCCTCCCTGCCATCAAAATGTCAACCAACATCCGTGTCCCCACGGTGATGAATTACCGCCTTGGAATGGCAGTAGAGGAGTTTGAAAAGAAAAAAACAAAAAACTAACAGAAGTATTTTGCAAGAATTAATTGCCTAAGAAGGATTGGCGGGTTGATTACTATTTGCAAATGGAGTACTTCTCTTATACCAGTAAGATTTATGTGTGAATGTGGCTGTGCACTTACCCACTCCCTGAAGGACTGGAACATTCATCTTCTATCTTCCCATTTGGGGTAGCCATCTAACGCCAGCTCTCATTCTCCAGGACCCCCTACCCCCAAAACCTCAGCTTTGGGTCAACGTTACTCCTACCTCTGAGTTCTGTGCATAACTGACTTTAAAAAATTATCTTTTTATTGTTATTGTAAAGGTGATGTACAGAGGGGCGACAGTTACATAAGTCAGGTAACGAGTACATTTCTTTTAAGGAAAATGTCACCCCTTCCTTCTCTCCCAGTTTTTCCCTCCTGTCCCCACCCACAAATTGCTCAACATAGTATCTACTGAGTACCACTGCAGATAGTTCACGCTTTCCTCAGCTCAGTGATACACTAAGAGAGATGTTTCATGTTAACATTTTAGATCAGCATTTGGGTTTTTTGGGGGAGGGATTGGTTAAGATCAATCAAATTCATGTTTTCTTTTCTATATATTTATTTAGACACAGGGTCCCACTACATAGTCTAGGCTTGCTTAGAACTTGATAGATAGTCCTGATTGAGTTCAAACTTAAGATCCTCCTGCCTCCTCTCTCAGTGCAGGGATCTCAGGTGTAGACCACTACGCTATTCTCAATTGTTCCTTCCCTGGATGGACCAACCTGTAGAGGCCAGGGAAGTGTTTGTGAATTACATCACATCCTATTAATCAATCATACCGCTTTCAGTGTATTCCTTATGTTCACGCCACAAGCGTGCACATGGGCCAGGCCAGAACAGGGAGCAGATTGGTGGGCGGCGCACAATCATTACTATGCTACTGGCCTCTCCTCATGAAACACGTTTGGATTTAGGGAGCCAGGTTCGGGGTGAGTCCCTGGCTCTGTTGTAAACATGACGAGTAGCTTTGACTTGGTTGTGAGTAGCAGTAATAATAACTATCGTTTTAATGATTGTTATTACTCTGATGGCTGCTCCCTATGTCTGGTCAGTATGGGCAGAGAATCCTTCCACAGGGGGAGAGAGAGAGAGAGAGAGAGAGCGCCACTCATTTGAATCCGTGTTCTGGAGGAACCATTGGGCAGCCGGATCCTCGTTTTAGCCAAAGACAAGGAGACATTTCCCAGCATTCTCTGGGCCAGGGCTCCATGTCAAACTTGCTCTCTTCCCCTTACCGGCTGCTGTTGCCAGGTAAGGGGGGGGGTGGAGGACAGGAAGAGTGGTAAGGCCAGGGCAGGGCAGCGGAGCAGAACCCCCTTTTCTGAGCCCCAAACCTGCAGGCAGAGCTCCGCATGTTCTCACTCCTCACAAGAACTAACTCTGTTATTACACTTCTTTCCTTTTTGATGGTGGTTCTGGAGTTCAAGAACCTATGACCTTGTACTTGCTGGGTAGGGGTAGGGGTCTGCGGCTGAGCCACGCCCCCCCCTGCATGATTATCTTTGCTTCATGAGAGGGAAGGTGGTCTCGGGGGCTGGGCGGCCTGCTTCCGGTCCCGCAGTGGACACCGGCAGCAGCTGTGTGAGTCTAAACACAGCCCACGCTGAGGGGGGTTATACCCCCTCGCCCCCTTCCTCCCCCCACCTCTGCTCCTGTCCAGGGCAGAGTGGGGCGCCTACGGGCCCATTCCAGATGCGATAGTCTCAGCTGGCTGCCCTCCTCCCTCCGCCTCCCTCCGAGTGTGCAGGGCACACCTTATCTGCAGCGATCAGTCTCTGCTCAAGGTCACCTCCTTGGGTTGTTGGCTGGCTCGCTGCCCCGGCCCCGCACGGACAGGACAGTTCCCGCCACCCCCTCATCCCCAAAGCCCGCCCAGCAGCCTGATCTGGGGGTTGGAATGGGCTCTGCCAGGCCAGGCTAGCCGGGCATGTACATGCCATGCCAGGACTTGAACTCAGAGCCGTGGCTCCTTCACTTTCCCTGCTTCAGGCTGGCGCTCTCCCGCTTGAGCCACGCCTCCAGTCTAAGCTTGGGTGTCTTCATGGGCCTGCAGTGTTCCCAGGGGACCGGCCCCAGGTGAGAGAGCCTCTCCGGCTGGCCACTGGCCCAAGCAAATCAGCGGAGGTGTCCTGAGGGTCTGTTTGTGGGTTCTCCATTCCTCCCACTGCACAGGGCTGCACCCCAACTTCCTCCCGTCCATCTGGCAAGAGATGCCACGGCTCCTGGACTGGGAGGAGGAGGCGGAGGGGGGGCGTGGAGAGCAGAGCTGACAGCATCCTAGATGGGCCTGCCACCTGGACAGCCAGACCCCTCCCCGCACCCTGGGACCCTTGGCAACAGTGGCTCCTGCTC